CAATTTTTGGGTATAGTTTCCATCAATTTTCGCCCACCATCGAACCCAAGTGTTTCAGCCAGCCGGTTTACATCATTGGATTGCAGTCGCCGCAATTCTGTATCGCGTGTATACATTTTATATTTTCACTGCACTCTCCACTGCTCAGAGTGGGCGTGAAATCTATACACGTCTAGGTGTACTATATTGTGGTCTTCAATATCTTTCTATATAAACGACAACTTAAAATCTCCAAAAGTATTCAACAAGTTCTACTGACTGATGCTACTGTGGAATTTTGGCCTTCAGCGACGCTGCGATGTCCGATGTTCGATCTTTATTCGCTCTACTCTTTCTTCGATGTTTCGTTGCTTCCTTGTTTTTTCTTATACTTTCTCAACAAATTCGTGTCAATGTTGCCACGCATTTTGTTTGCTTATAAAATAAATGCCAGTGTACGGAGTTAAGCCGATTCTGAATAGAAACTCCCTGGGATTTTTTTTCTCTTCTCCCTTTTCTCCTATCATGAATAAAAATTCTCTGAGGATTTTTCATTTTAAATGGCGGAGTTTGGATGTCAAAAAAGGGGCAAACAGCTCTTTCGAAGTTCGAATTTCCTGCTCCCAAATTTCTGGGAGTTAATTATTGGAGCATTTCTTTCCCGGAAGAAACAAATTTCCGGAGATCTAACTTCCCGGGAATGTACAGAATTAGGTTGATTATTACAATTATCCTTGGGATATTTCTTTATTCATTCTGGATCTAGAATAGAATAGTCGTAGTTTGTACAGAATAATGGGAATTAAGAAACAGAAGAGAATAACATTATTAGGTAGCAGCTAGGAAAGAACTTTTCAGTGGTTATTAATATCTAATAACTTACTTAGTTTCTCTAGCGCCATTATTTTCATGCAATTTTTTACGTTTGTACATATGCACAATATGCTATAAACGGAACGAAAATAATGCTTTTAGATTATCCGGTACCATATTATCCGAATGCAACGAATAAAGAGCGAAATACACCACACAAGCGGCTTGTCAAACATTCTTCAAACCTACTTTTCCCATTTCGCCATACACCATGCAAACATGACTCGTTCAAGCAAAGAATTTTAGTTTTCTTCGAGTTCGCAATGCTAAATATTATGGTTTTCTTTCATTTTCCTCTCTTACGTCCTTACTCGGTGAAAATTTCGTTGCGAATGAAGAGCGAAATACACCACACAAGCGGTTTGACAAACCAAGCGAAATTTCCCTTTGCTTCAAGCCATTTGTGCTGTGTATGGGGGTGTTTGAAGGTTTGACAAACCGCTTGAGGGAAATTTGAGCAAAAATCAAAATTTTTTGATTTTCTGGCCGCCATGTTGATGTTTGATCAAACCGCTTGCGTTGTGTATAGCAAAATCGCCTCATTCGCAACGAAATTTTCACCGAGTACGGACGTAAGGGAGGAAAATGAAAGAAAACCATAATATTTAGCATTGCGAACTGGAAGAAAACTAAAATTCTTGGCTTGAACGAGTCATGTTTGCATGGTGTATGGCGAAATGGGAAAAGTAGGTTTGAAGAATGTTTGACAAGCCGCTTGTGTGGTGTATTTCGCTCTTTACATAGTGTTTATACCGTTTATGTATAATGCCGGTTGGCGTATGATTAATAATAAATAAATTATCACTAACTTCAGATGTACATAACGCGCGATGTGATGCTGATAGAAATCTGGATCAATTTGTGATCAACTCTCTTTGTTTTGTTTCCTAATTAAGTGAGGAAATTTTAATTGACAGCACCGACAAATGTATATATACACAAACAAATGATCGGTTATGGTTAAAACAATTCAAGTTTTTGTATTGAATTTTTGGCTTAAAATTTATTTTTTCCGTTTCAGTAGGGTTTTTGCACATTATTTTCTGCCTGAGAGTTGATCGTAATAGATACCGATCCGAATAAGCGACTGGAACACGGCTGTTTGTCAAAAGCATACGATTTCGAACTCGCGTAAATGTACATTTGCTAAATGCTATAGCATGAACGCTCTTCGAAAACATATGTTCGAAAGTGCTAAATGTTCACGGTGCAGCGAACAAAGGTGGCGCCGTCAGTGGTACCGCTACTTTGGTTTTGCCGATTTTGACAGTTGTGGTAACTTGTAAATAAACCTTTGTTTACAAATCAGCGAAAAATCAGTGAAAAATCAGTTTAAATTGTGTTAATTTGCAATTTGCGAGTGATTTTTGAGTTGAAGACTGCGTAAAAACTAATACAATGAAGTGATGTGTGTTAAATTGCGACAGCCGTCAAGATGCAAGAAGCGTAGATGCAAGTGCAGCGCTGGGACGAATCGCTGCATTTTGTGTACATAGGGCACGGCAAAGCCGTTCCCGAAATATTTCTCTATTATTATATTAACAGCATTTCCTCACAATGATTTTGTTTCTGCTCCACGCAGCCTCCATTAGCAAGTTAACTAATCAATCCCGCAGAGATGCTGCTGCAGTTTTCTGCAGCAGCCTTAATTGCAAAGCAATGGAGTGTACTAAAACGTTTGCTGAAGCAGCCTCAATTGCAAAGCAATGGAGTGCACTAAAATGTTCACTGTTCTCTAATAGATTAGGTGAAAAATGCAATATTTTCGCATTTAGCAAAATTAAAACACGTTTTTCGCTGTAAAGTGAACTGCTTTGGCAGTTTCAACTCGTTCTTCTTTTCGCTCTATTCGTTGTTTACTTGTGGTACACAAATGTCAACGCCCAGGACGGCGCAATCTTGTATTCTATCATTCTTGCTAAATGTTGCATTTTAAAGTTCTGAACACATTGAAAACGACGCGCTACCGACCACAGCTTCCAATTTGTCATCTTTATTATCTAAGCGCTTTGTCGATGGCGACATGATTTCTTTGAACGCGGCAGCGACATCCTGAATTTGTATGAGTTTGACATAAAAGAAGAGGAAGAACCACAGCCGTCGCGTAGCCCGGTCGTCGCCAAAATAATTATCTACATAAGAGTACGTGTTAAAATAATTTGACAGCTGTGGTTTGTAGCTCGTCGTTTTCATTGTGTTCGGGCTATAAATGCAGCAAAAACGCTGCATAATGCTTATTTCAAGACATCAAAGTGCCCATACACAAAAACTTTCAATCATATTGCTCGTCATAATGACAGTTGGTAGGCCATCGGTGTTTGCCTGTGGAGTTCTGCGGTAAGAAAAGAAACAAAGCCAACAGCACTGGAGTAAACAAAGTGCTGCCATGCCTTTTTTTTCGCACATAGATCAAAATACTGTGGCGAATACTGCGGCAACACAAAGCGAACAACGAGAAATA